AATTGTGTGTATTTTCCTATCTATTACAAGGCCTTTATATAGGCATGAAAAGTGAAGAAAATATGTCATGGAATATGTCATTGAACATAGAAAATATGTCATTGAATATGTCATTAACCATTTGAGAGAAAGATCATGGAGGAAGAGTAGACATCCACCATATTTTGATTTTTATCATAACATTATCATCATTTTCTGAGTTCTACCCGTTATTGGTTTTTTTTTTTTTTGCCTCAGTGTGTGCAGGGGCGGATGCACATATCTACTGCATACATACAAAGAATACTTAACAAAATATATTTTATTTCCAATGACATTGCTTAGAAACTCACATTGCGTGGTCCACTGGTTAAGCGTGTCTTTCTTTTGTAAAGGTCAGGGTTTTCAAACCAAGAAAGCCACATTAATTCCTTAAACTTTTTATAGCCTTTTTTAGCCCCATTGTTTGGAAATTGCATGGATGAAGCTCTCATAACATTCTAAGTGATAAATATTTCTATTTCTATAGAATTACTAATCCTAAACTTTGCAAAAGGACTACATAATTCTATTTCTACAGAAAATTTGTCTTGTTCTTTTTTATTTCCTTCAACATAGATGAAGAATTAAAAGATAGAATATTTATGTTTGTGGTAAAATTTCTTTAATTATTTACTATCGTTAATTAGTAGCTTTATAATTCAATATTCATTTTAATTTTTAAATATAACACCGCTTATGAATAATTCTGCGTACGCCACCGAGTGTGTGTACCATTATTGGTATTTTATGACCAGTATTGCAAGTGTTCTATACTTGAAGGTCATGGAAGACTTTGGTAGCACTGGTTTAAGTTCTTTCTGGAGAGGTATCCTGATAAAGTGAGAAAGCATATGTAATATAAAACCATCATGATGCAGAGCCAAAATGTTAAGTGCACTCTCTTAATACCAGAAATAGATGCCCTTCAACTACTGTGCATGAAATTAGCTTTCTGACAGTGTTACTCAAACCTAACCAAAGAATACACTAGTCTACAATTTATAAGTCTGTCAAAATCATTAAATGGATAATTGAGGAATCATTAAATACCTACGAGAAATTAGTATACGAACCTACACTGAGTCTAGTATATATTAGACATTTTGTTACAATCTGAATAATTCTACTTCATTCCGACCTTAAATTCCCCATTTCTAGGGAAGATTGAGGATGTTGGGAAGAGCCATCAAAAACCTGTGCAGCGTCTGAAGGACTCACCAAGTGCCACCTTGACGAAGCCCCTCTCTCCTCTACCCCGAGCCCTGCTGCCCGACCAGATGTTACTCTCCTTAAAGATACTGCAGGCTTGTCCTTTTGGTAATACCGTATAATTCTAGCTGTCTTTGTCCAGAAACTTTGATCAGTTGATGGATGAACTACATTGTCATAATATGCTTGACTCTGTTGCCAGGATCTTCTGCATAAACGCCACAGGAAAAATAGCAGACAGACAGTAGATGTTGCACCAGACACTAGATATAAGCCCCAGAAGCTCCCTAGGGTGAGACTTTCTGTTTCATTACTAGCATCAACATTGTCACAATTCCTTGACAAAGCAAACCAACGTTCTTCCAAACTGTTAAGCGTACCATCTTGTGTTAGAGTCAGTATGGCTTCAGACACATCACGAGCTAGCGGAGAGCCTTTCTGGAACACCTGTTAGCCACGTTATGCAAATGAGTCGAATCTACAGACTACTAGACATAAATAACGGACTATTCATGCTAGTGAAAAAAGCAAATGTCGTAGTTATTTATTTAATAGAGGCAATGTCTGCTTACAAAGGCTAGTCCGCCAAATCTGTAATTAGGACCAGCTACAACATACTGGTTGCAATGCTCTCTAAGGAAAACCTTCTGATATGGGATTTCAAGAAAGGCTGCTTTGATGTTTCCACTTTCAAATTCCTTTGGGTAATCTTCCTGATTGCTAATGTTCTTGATATTTTGAAGCTCCAGGACTTGCCTCAAATAATCCTTAACAAAGGAATCACCATCACATCCAACTGTTGTGTTTGTTCTCTTTATCCAATTTATGTCTTTCACACTTGGTTCCAGTCTTGGAACAGTCAGCATTGAAGTCAAAGAAGCTGTATAACTCGAGGTCAGCACAAAGACCAGGAAAAGCCAAACTACGACTACAATCTTCGTGTAGTTGCTCTTGATTTTTTCCCCTGATTATCAGCCAAAGTAAAAAAAGTTATCTCCTTGCAACTTTTATTATTTAAACATAGCTAATAAGCTAAATATAACCTTATCGAACAAACCAGCATTTCATGGACACTTCATTTAACATTAAATCATTATTGATGGATAGCAATACTTACGGTGAGCAAAAAACAGTGAAGAGAATGTAAACCACATTGCAGTTCCAAGTTGATCTTTCCACCGGCCTCTAAATTCAGGATTCGACTGATGCTCCATGAACCAAACTACAAGCATTGTGTAAACTAAGATAGAACCTGTTACTATCCACATGCTTATAGTGAAAGGCTTCAAGAACATCCATGCCTTCTTCGATCCATCAAACTTCACTGGAACCACCATGGTCAATCCTGATTCTGCAAATGGCTGTGTGAACTCCACGTATTTTATCCTTTCAGCTAATATCGTCATGTCTCCAACAATAGCATCATACCTCTGACAGAAGGAGAAAAAAAAATAACACACCCCATTATTTTAGGAGTCCAAAGCAAAGAACTGTGATATAGGAAAAATAGGTAACAAAAGAAAACTGGATAGTATATTTAGGATATCAGAAACTAAATGCTTACCCTATTAATAACTTGCTGAACCAGGTCAGGATATGAGCCATCATATGGTTCAAATTCATAAGGTAGTGTATAATTTTGCTCCAAAATTTTAAGTACTTCTTTGAAAAGATCAATACAGAAACCACTATACTTCCTTTCATTTGAATTTGCCACCTTTTCAACCTTTACAAATTTCTCAAAAGTGGTTCTCCCTGGAACACCAATGATTAATGGTTTTGAATCAGTAGGCATTGCCCACCCTTTTGGGACACGGTTCAATTCCCCCGGCCACTTTACCTCACTAGACTTCATGGTATGGGAACCATTAACTTGGATTCTCCCCCCATTTTCAGCTTCAACAACTTCCGAGAACCCAACCTTTGATGACCAAAAGCCAAGTCTTTTATACCTGTTTCCTACGACGTTTACAATCCTAAATGTTGAAGGGTGTGACAATGCTCCATCAACAAAGCTAACTTGGCCACTCAAACCTGTGAAATTGCTCGAAAGAATTCTGTTTTTCAGTAACTTTGAGTCATTGGAAGTCTTTGTACCCAAATTGTTCACAGCCATAGCAAAAGCTGTGATACTGTCATATGCTTTTAGAGCATGAATTCCAGGCTCTGAGTGATCTTCCATAGGGTACTCAGACAGGAAAATCTTTTGGAATTGACCTTTAAAATCTTGGAAAGACTTAGTGGCTTCTGAGTAGTGAGTTTTGATTCCTAAAGCTCCTTGGATAGATGAAATAAAGGGGGTATGAACAGAATCCAAGAGATCAGCGAGAGAGTCTGCAAGTATCCAAGCTGAATCTCTTCCCATAAGTCCAATCTCTTTGGCTTCTTTAAACAAATGACTTGCAGTGGATACTGATGAGCGAAGAACGACAAATACCCTTGATTGTTTCCTTAGTAACTTCACAACCTCTCGTCGAACAACTTCCCTTGGATCGGATAGAGAAGAGGTTTGTGGAAGAATTACTTGATGCTCTATTTCTGCACCATCACCTTTAAGTGTTTCAGATAAAACTGCAAGGACACTAGAATCACTATACATGTCATCTTCATAAATTATTATGACTTTCCTCCACAGGTACGAACGAACAATAGCAGATATACAATTAATTTGTTCCAAGCTACTTGAACTCATTTGCACCAAGAAAGGCCATTTTAGCTGCACCAACTCTGGTGTGTAGGAAGCTGTAACAAAAGAGGTAATTGGAACTTGATGCCTTTTCCCAATATCAGCTACTAAAGCAGTTTCTTCCCAAGTCTGCATGCCTACAACTATCATCTTGACATTGTTTTTCTCAACAAGATCTTCAGCTGCACCACAATTATTAAGACAAATTAACACTTATGAAATGAGTCAAAGTTCCATTTATTGACGTTGTAAAAAGATATTATTTACATAATTAGGTCACATATAAGATAATAACAACGAAATTTCCATGATAATTTTAATTGGTAACTTGATAAAATGGTAACTAACATGCTATCGCAGGTTAAACTACACTGATAGAGCAAGAATCTCTAGATTATCAGTTTATAATATTTATAGAATTATTTCCTAGAACATATAGAGATACAACAAGTTGATAAATGTTAAATGAAAAGCCAAGTATGAAACCTGTGGAAAGGTCCTCAACTGCATCCTTGCTGGTGTTCCTAAAATGAACTGTTATAAGCTGCTTGTGGTTTCTTTTGTCATGGTTATAATTCTCAACTGCTATACCTATGGCTGTTTTCTGTTCCTTCCCAATACGGGAATTTATGTCAACAATTGCACCTATTTCTATGGTTTCATTTGCAGTTGCTTTGAGAGTTAAAAGGGAGATTAAAATATAGGTTTTGAGGATGAAGATTAACATAGGGAATGGCTTAGAACTCATGCTTTTTTCTACTCAGCTGAAAAGATTTCTTGCTTTAAAACAATTAACCACTATATATAATCTTATTTCTATGTACTAGTCAAATGGTTTTTTCAGTTTACAGTTGAGTTGACTATGTCTTGTGGTTTAATTTGAAAAGTAGAAGGATGGTCATACACTCATATATACTTTGGCACCACGTTAAGTGAATCGCGTGGACTCGTACAAGGGTGAGAAATAGACTCATTTGTCAGCCTTGGGAATTCTCCTCGAAAGTACAACTAATATAAAAGAAAATTGAGTTATACAAGGTGAAAAGTTTATTATGCCCTTTACATTATAAATCCCCTCATTCCTCATTTATGTAATATCTTCTATATTATATGCTATATAATATAATTTACCCAGATATTTTACTTATAATTAAAATAACTTAATATTATTTTATAATAAGTATGCATTATTAAATTTGTCAATATATAACCGTGAACAAATCTGAAGCCCACATTCTTAACCATGCTTAATGAGATAATTTTAATAAAAATTATAAATTCTAAGCTAACTGATTTATCAGCCAAGTCATACCCATTAGTCCAATAAATAAAATACCCACATTTAGCACAATGATACATCAGATTAATACTTCCAAATAAATAATATTAATAGATAAAGCTTTAAAAAATCTAATATAAAATACAAGTATCTTTGAATGCTTTTTTAAAATTTTTATTGACTATAAAAAACTATCATTTGTTAAGCAAATCTGTTTTTATTATTTCAATAAATATTTTAAACATTTTTATATTCAAGATATGTTCATGTTTGAATATGATTAAACAAATTGAGTGCCATGAAAAAAATTAAATGTATTGATATATTATAAAAATAATAAATAAAAAATATAAATTTATTTTAATTATAAGTAAAATACATATGTAAAAATATATTATATAGTATATAATATAGAAAGTATTACATAAATGAGAGGACTTATAATGTGAAAGGCATAATAGGCTTTTCAAGTAAAAGTATTATAAATTCTGGTCAAGGTGACTTTTTGTGATATATAAAATAAAATAATTTTTGCGTAACAAAAGAAAGAAAAGTGACTTTTAGGTAATGAACACAAAGTTAAATAATTTTTAGGTAACAAAAATAAAAAAAAGTGATTTTTGCATCGTGAACACAAAGAAAATTGCTAATTGTTTGAACTTTGAAATGTATAAAGTCAAGGAATGAACTTACACTGTAGATAAGATGTCACAAATTTCATTCTGGAAGAATTAAGTAGTCCTTGTTATTGGCTCTTATGATAGTATAGTATAGTATTAGAAAATAATAGAAACTGAATTTCAGAACTTAATTAGCTGGCTTTTCCTCAATTGGATATATAAATTAGATAACAGATTTCCCTTGCATTGAAAATTTAGCATTCTTAAAATTAATTCATGATAAATAAATTAAATAAAATAAAACAGAAAAAAAATAATAAACTTGATTTCTTTTTATCTTCTTATGCAGTTATTGCTCCTTTTTTCTGCAAACACGATTCTCCTTTTCCGAAGTAAAATCAAGGGAATCCAATAAAAGAAGTTCAACATTTTTTTGTGTGTGGTAGAGAAAATATTAGCTTGCTTTTACCAAAAAACAGCCTTACTTCTTATTATATTCCGTGGTCAGTCAAATTATGTCAGATAAATTATTATATTCCGTGGTCAGTCAAATTACGTCAAATAAATTGAAATATATGGAGTACAATTTTTTAAGATAACTTAACAGGGATTTAATTTGGCATGGATTGACTTACAGCATAGGTATTTGGTTAGTTTATCTCAAAGGTTTTTGGTATTGGGTTTGCAAATTTAATGCAGCAAGAGAAATGTACCAACTAAGTGGCATAAAGTACAACATTATAATGCACATATTGCCATGGGAAAAAAGAAAATCGAAAATAGAAAATACAAGGCCGGTTAAATTAGTACTAGGAGTAGAGTGACTCATAATCCAAAAATGAGAGCGTTATGTCTGAACCTTTCTTTATTCCCAGCAACTCTTCTTCCCACAAGAAATTACACTTCTCTTATCCATTCCCACTGTAATTGCTCTTCACCTTCCAATGGCCGTTTCCGGCTACGCGCCACCACTAGTCGCCGCAAGTCGGAGCCTGTCCTCGGTGACGAAGAAGAAGAAGTTGAAGCAGAAGAATACGACAGTGAAAGAACCTCTAAGACTATGAGAATGAGGTCTAAGGGTGTTATAGGCATAAATGAAGAGGAAGAAGAAGAGGGAGAGGATTCGCCGATGGTGCTGTCACTGAGTGTGAAACCAGACCGAAACATGGCTTTACTTGATGATTACGAATTGGAGGAGCTCGATTTTGTTCCCCTTGATCCTAATCATCGCAGTGGTTTGCTTTTTCACCTTCCTTTTGTTTATTTTTAATTTAAAAAAATGAATTAATTTAGTTCAAGTTGCTCTTAAATGTAGGATATGTGGCAGTGCTTGGGAAGCCGAATGTAGGGAAAAGTACACTTTCCAATCAAATGGTTGGCCAGAAACTGTCCATTGTTACTGATAAACCTCAAACCACGCGTCATCGAGTTCTTGGTATTTGTTCTGGCCCAGAGTATCAGGTTTGGATTGTTCTACTGCTACTATTCCCTCCGTTTCCTTTTACTCGTTCACTATATTAAAAATAAATTTTCTCTTTTACTTGTTTACTTTAGCAAATTAAGTAAGATTTATTATTTTCTTCCAATGTTACCATTCACACTTCCCAATCATTGCTTTGTTGATAGAATTTTAATTGGGTGATTTAGTAAAAAGAAACTCTTAATAAATGATTTCTTAAAGGGAGTACCAAGTCAATAGTGGACTAGTAAAAGGGAACAGAGGGAGTACTATGTTTCTGCTGAGCTGCAACATGTCTGAGATTACTTATCTTTGGCTGCTCATTCATGTGAAACTATGGTGCTTATACATTGCTTTGTGCTACTTATTAGTGATTGCAACGGAAATTTGTTTTATGTAGTTATACCTAGTTTTCTCAAAAACAGATTTGAGAGTGATGGTTTGCTCACCTTATCTATCAACTGAGCCTCCCTTAGATAATTTTTCTTTTTTGCATGTAGCTGTGAAATGGGTGGCAAGCAGGTGGTTCTTTTTGGTAGAAATTTTGTTTCTTTTAAATTTTACTATTGTCAGAAATCAGAAGAAACCTCTTTTTTGGCTTTTTACTTTTGCCTCGCTCTGCCTGCACACCTGTAGTCGTTGTTGTGTTAATCCTAGTTACTTAAGCATGCTTGATTCTTTCATGCAGTCTGCAGCTTGTCATATGTAATCAATATGCACTCCTCTTTTAGCTGTTGCAATATGCCTTCTATATCTGCTCCATAGAATTCAATTTGTTCCAGACATTTTGTAATCCCCTGTCTCAGACTCATGAACCATTACTGGTTGTTCCCATACAGATGATACTTTATGACACTCCCGGTGTCATAGAGAAGAAAATGCATAAGTTAGATTCAATGATGATGAAGAATGTCCGGAGTGCAGCTGTTAACGCAGACTGTGTGGTTGTTGTTGTGGACGCATGTAAGGCTCCTGAAAAGGTATAGTTCTTCACTGTAAATAGCCATCTGGAAAATATGATCTCTTTCTAACTTTTTCTAGGTTTGCTGCTTTCAGATAGATGAAGTGATGGAAGAGGGTGTTGGAGACCTGAAATATAAAGTACCGACATTGTTAGTCTTGAATAAGAAGGACCTGATCAAGCCTGGTGAAATTGCAAAGAAACTTGAGGTAAGGTACCTGTTGATGTTGAGATCATTTATTGCATTAGGTGTTGCAAAGACGCATTATTATTCTAGTCAGACAAAGTATAAGCAATTTGAATCAACTTATGCGATTCTTTGTAGAATCCATCAACTACATGGCAGTGGCTATTATCATTGGAATTGAGCCAAAATTTTGCTGTTTGATTACCTTATCCAAAAGAAAAGAAAGAAAATTTTGCGTTTTGGAGTACCCATTTTTGAATTAGTAGTATATTGGTGTGGAAATCTAAAGGTGGACGTATTCTAATAGTTGTAAAGGTCACGTAGAACATGGATTTGAGCCAGATGTCAAAATTATGAATTTGAGACATACGTAATTGAACTTATATAGATTGGATATTCTTTTAACGAAATTAGACCAACTAGTCAAGTATTTAAATTCTGGCATTTTCTGATGTTATGTTTTATTCCTTTCAGTGGTATGAGAAATTTACGGACGCTGATGAGGTCATACCTGTAAGTGCAAAGTATGGTCATGGAGTAGAAGATATCAAGGACTGGATATTATCTAAGCTTCCTCTTGGGCCTGCTTATTATCCCAAGGTGTAAATATACTCTGTTTCTATGTTCCCATCTCCTCTTTTCATTGACTTCTTTCTTGAAAATGAGGAAAAATTCATGACTTTGGAATCATCTTCAACTTTAATCTTTATGATTTTTTGTGGCATTTAAGCTTGTAGAGATCTTTTTGGGGTCAACCACTCAATTTGGGCCTTAGACAAATGGCATCTATATTTTGCTAGATAAGTTCTTTTCAAAATGTGAGTAGATTGCATTCCTCAGCTCTCCATGCAACTACGCTTGCCAATACTGCCAAAACTTCTCTATGTAAATTTGATTCCATAAGGTGTTTTTATCTATTTCTTTTGAATTCTCTGCTTTTTAAACTAAATAGTATGATTTGTATGCCATCTGAAAGTGATGACATTTTTTATTTAAAATGGAGCGAGTCTTGTTTTCTTCTTCAATATTATACAACTGATACAGTTCCAATAATTTTATACTTAACTCTATAAAAATTCAAAATCAGCCTTGATGCACATTTGAATTACACCTTAAAATTCATTTAAACAATGTGCATTTGCAAATCTGTTGTTTATATCCAACCAAGGAGAATCATTTCTTTGAATAGGTCGAGTGTGGGGGAGGTCAGAGTAGGGTTGGGGGGGGTGGAGGATTATCTTATTCAGTTTATGTAACTTTAT